TAGCAACATTATGTTGAAGTGTTTTGTTATTTAGTTACATCTTGCCTGAACATGAAAAAGTTATTAACATACTGTTGGCTTACTGGGACATAACCCAAAATAACTTACATTTTTCATACATTGCTAATTATTTTTCTGAGACTGGCTCAGGCTGGTAAGAGAAGATTTCAAGGCTTTCACCAGATTATTTACTCAGAGAAGTTAAGCATGCCATTATCTGTTCCCATGGAAACACAGTAAGTAATCCAGGAGATGGAGGAGGAGGTCACTTTGACCATAATTAATATAAAGAATAATGGTTTATATAGAATCTTGTAAAGGATGCAATGAGATGCTGTATAATACCTTTAAATCTTTTCTTTCCCAGTGAAATTTAATCTTTGGATCAATTTTCACATAGTAGTGTCACTGTGGTAGTTTTACTAGTTCAATTTTAATTTTTGAAATAAAACTTCATTTTGTTTTGTAAAATTTCCCAATGCTTTTATTTCACTTTTGATTCAATCATACAATTCCAGTATCCAGAATTTTCTAAAGTATTGAGCAAGTACAAATGCCTCCCGTGTATTGGCCTCACCCTTCTTGTGTATGCTGTAGCTCCTTGCCATGGTTTCTCAATAAATGGTTGATTTGGGGAACTAATTGATAACAAGAGGTGCCACTAGATTCAATGGTGCCTTTAAAATCAAAGGAAGATTTAACTATGTTCAGTATAGTTTACAGATAAGGTTGTCTTATTGTATTTTTTAAATTGAAAATTGGTAATCCACTCAGGATTCATTGGGACCCTGTGCACTCCTTGGAAGTTCTTACCCAAAGATGCACACCATAGTCACTTTTAATCCTTAATGTTTATTTGAATAGTCGATTTCTTGTAAAGTCTCTTAAGACCAAATTTTATCATGAAAGCTTGATGACACATTTATCAAAACTAATACAGTATCCAAGAAAGAACTACAGAGGATAAAAAGAGGGAGAGAAACAAGTTAACCTTTTAAGGCTCTGAATTTTTAATACACTGAAAAAAAATCACATGAAGTCAGAAATAACTAGAATTTTGCTTCTTTTGGAGCTGTAGTCCAGGAACTTAGTGGAGCCTCTTCCACATGCTCTTGTCTGTGGAGTAGACTCAGGCCAGCTGCGTGGCACTGACTGATGTTTGTAAACAGGTGGCCTGAAGTTAAGTGGAGTCAATGCACAATTTCTCACCCTTTAAAAAATATCCACTCCTCTGCCACATGAATGAACAAGGATTTTTTTTTGTAAATATCAAGCTTGAAATAATTTAATCAGGAATGTAAATCAGCTATGTGCCCCAATTATAAAAACGATGATGGGATTGGCTATGGTATTGATTTGGGGAACATGGGGGGAAAAGAATTACAGCTGTTTTCTTTCTTTCCTTCCTTTTGAAATATAATGATATTACATCCTTATTCCAGAAATGTGCACAGCATTCTGTCCTGCTTGGCAGACATAGTGGTCATTGGTTTAGCTAAGAATAAGAACTCTCAGCAGTGCCATCCCATAGGCTTATAAGAAAGCCCCTAAAATAATGGATAGTGTACTTCCCTGTATGTATTTATGTTCAGATAATTTATTTAAATAATGTTGCTGGCACATGCTTTATAGCTGCATGCATTTTGCTACCCAGATTTCAGCATATCTTGCAGACTATGCAATTCGTTTGGAAAATGTAATTTCCATCCCTGCATACTAATCGATTTCTTCACAAACACCTGCCATCAGTTATGATAATAAAAATGCCACTCTGAATTGAAAAAGGGCCAAATAGAGCTTCCTAAGGAAATGACTTAAGTGTCTTTGAATGCTACTAAATGTAGTAATGTGCTTGTGTAGTGCCAACACTTTTTTCATCATTTGCATTTTCTGTGATTTTGCCCTATTACAACATCCCTCTTTCAAATGATGCCTCATAACCATTTGTTTGTGGATTGGTGCACTGAGTTGTTAGGAGTTAGTATCTCAGTGCGGACAAGGTTTTAAGTTAGGCTGCATAATGTTAAAAAGCACAAGCTCGTGCTTCTGGGTGTGCCCTAGATCATTTCTGGTTTTAGAAGTCCCTGAAAACTGTAAAATTAGCCGCTCCTTGGCTTTGCACACACATATACACCGGATAACATTTCCTTTATTCATTCTTTTCAGCCTCCAGTTCATTCCATGCACCATTGCCAAACTAATCTTCCTAAATCATCAATTTCACCATGTCCTTCCACTTCCCCAAACACCTTTTGTGGTTCTCAATTGGCTGTCCCATTGAGCCTAACCTTCCCCATCCTCTCCCAGCCTCTCTCATGACTCACTGTTCTCTTGCACTGGCCTTTTTGGTCAAGCTTCTCTCCTACTGGCCTTGAATGTTCTGCCTTCAGTTCTCATCTCTGGGTTTTTACTTATGATCTTGCTCCTGATTTGGTTGCCTTTCCCCAGTTCTTGGGTTTTCCATCTTCCTAAGCATATTATTCTTCGCATTTTTCTCTCTCTTCTCCAAACTCCTATAGGTTATATTCCTTTGTGCTTATCTGACACTAAGTTTCTCATTTGTTCAACCAGTATTTATTGAATGCCTACTATATGCTAGGCATCAGACTGCTCTTTCTTCCCTTGAATGCATTATTTCCCTTTAAAATGTGGTTAGATTTTAAGTTCCTTGAGAAAACCAACAAGCTCTATCTCTTTTCATGATCTAAGATTCCCAGACAAACCTGGGCACGGTGAGTGTGCAATAAATGCTTGTTGACTAACTGATCCTATAACCAACAGTGCCATAGGAAAAAACTTTGGGTGTAGACAGCTTGCATGCTGGCCAGTTTACTCTGCTTCTTAATTAAACTTACATCTTTTCTCTCTTTGTCTACATGTTGGAAAGTCCAAAATTAACTCCTTTTACCAGTTAAACCAGGCAGTCTTCTATCCCTTACCTCTGGCTGGCTGACCACCAGAGAAGTAAATCTGTTACCCATGACATGTACCTTTGGAGATGTGGTGCCAGAGACCTGGAGAAAGAGCAAAGGCCAGCAGCCATTGTGGACACATATTTCACCATGTAGTCAAGCTGAGCCCTCTCAACTCCCTCTTTAAAAGGTGAACATTTTCTCTCAGAAGGGGAATGACAGTGCTTTGAGAGATTGACTTATCCTGTCCCCTTTGTCTGATGAATAATTAACCTTATTTTCTTTTCCTCAAAACCCTGCTCTTGTTATTTGTAAATTATCAATTGGCATTGAGGCCAGGGGACCAGCTTTCCGATAATAATCCCGAATGGCTTGAGGTAGGGAATTTTCTGGTCAATTGCATGTACTGTTTGATTAATATTTCAATGTGTATATATACACAGATTATCATTTTATAAAGTGGAATACCATAAAACTCTTAACTGTGAAACTATTATTAACATAATTTAATGTTTCATATTTGTGGAAAGAATTCACTGAGGCCTCATAGCATCCCTACAGAGCTCTATGATCTTTGTACTGCTAGGTGCAGGTGGAATGTGCAGGAGGCTGGCCTCACCCCAGGATATGGAAAATGGGTGTTGGGATGTGGAAACCAGTGGATGTTGAGAGTCATGCACAATGGACTCCCCACCACACCCTTACATACCAGAAGTACATCAAAGAAGTTTCTAGGAACAAACTTCGCAGATTTTCTTTCACGTTTCTCTTGCTTACAAACATAGAGAATAACTTTTCCGTGAGGGGGAAATACAACCGGACACTAGTGGAAGAGAAGAAGGGACCTGGTTTTTGAACAGTTGATAAGAACTAAACACACATGGACTGACATAGCACAAGAGATCAGGGCAAAGCCTCTGGAACTGGCACCTGGGTTTGCATACTGTTTCTGTTACTTACTGTATGTGACTGAACAAGTTATCTACATTCTCTGTGCCTCAGTTCTCTTATCTGTAGAAATAGGAATCAGAATACCTGCATCCTAGGCCCTCTGGGGACAAGAGGATCAGTGTTTGTATGGACCTCCTAGTCCAGTGCCTATCATATTGTGAGTGCCTAACAAGGCATTATTATCATTGGGGAGACCACAAAGCAAGAAGATGGAAACCAGGGAAAGGGAGTCTCCTCCTCAAATGTTTGTTTTATACCACTCAGGCTTCTTTTTTTATTGGGTTTCAGCTGGTTCTGAAGCCTTGAATTGTATAAGACCTTAATAAGGTATAATAACCGTCTTGGTTTCTTGATGTGAATGAAGTCCAAATCTACACAGAGAATTTCAGGTTTCAGAGAGGAGGAGTAGAGGAACCACTGAGCCTTGTAGAGAAAAAGAGTTTTAATCTGTTGGTGAAACAGATGGAACCAGGTTGCCATTCTGATAGGAGTTAGAGAAAACAATTTGTGCAATTTGTCCCAGCAATGGAGCAGAAAGGAGTGGCGTGCATATAAATTCCTCTCTCCCCTGGGAGGCTGTCGTAGTCCTCAACCTGTGGAATGGCTGGTTATTTGAAGGCAAGCAGCACTACAAGGAAGGAGCTGAGCAATCCTGTAGCTGGAGAAATGACAATAACGTGGTAGATATGATTGTTGCCAGAATTCTGCATATCCTAATTAGTGACAGACACAGGCAAACTTCTTCAAGGGTGTCTAAGATTGGGAAAAAGGTCAAGAGATAAAAATTTTAAGGGAATTAATTCTGTTCCACAAGTAACATTAATATATAAGAGAGGACAAATTTTAAAAATTTTGAAATAGGGCCTACAGGGTGGAGCTCAGTGCTAGAGTAGTGCTTGCCTAGCATGTGCAAGGCCCTGGGTTCCATCCCTAGCACAAAAACAAACCAAAAAAATGCCTGAAGAAGTGATGCATACCAACTGCAAAATAAAAAGCCCCAAAGCAAAGCATTTGGGTTTTATTTCTGAACTGGTATGAAGGTTCCAAGTTCTGACAATAGATTCCCTTTCCAGCTGAAGGCCTCCTCACTTTAGGCAAGAAGGTAACCCCCTTGAACTCTTTCTGTTTGTCCTTCAGCTCTGGCCGCTCAGGCCTATGCTCTTAAAGAAGAGAATGACAGTCTCCGATGGCAACTGGATGCCTACAGGAATGAAGTGGAGCTGCTGAAACAAGAAAAAGAACAGCTTTTCCGAACAGAAGAAACCCTCACCAAGGATCAGCAGCTACAGTTCCTGCAGCAGACTATGCAAGGCATGCAGCAGGTACTGCCCGTGTGTGCAGATACATTTGTGGTTGAGAGAGAAAGGAACATGGTTATCCAGTAGGGATGGCATTGCAGACATTTGCCAGAAAGGTGGGATGAGAAACAAGAACCAAAAGACTAGTTTGTAGGAAAGGAAAGCACTCATGGCTGTTTGTAGAACGGTAGACTTTGGAGAAGAGCCAAGCTAAAGAAATACATTGAAGAAATACACCCTGGAGACAGAAATAAAGAGACAGAGTGTAGGAGGTTAAAGGTTATGTATGAAGTATAGCCTCATGGCACATGGTCAGCAAATCCTTGCTAATCAGAACACAAGTGTTTTGCGATCAGAGAACTTTCTAATTCAAAGAGCAAGACTGATTTTTACAAACACAGTTTGTTTGCCTTCAAGATCAGTGTTAATATACATTATATTGTTTCCACTTCTGAATTATACTTAGGTCTTGTCAGGTTTAAGGAATGATTGTTGATGGACTGGATGTGCTCCAAAATTAGGACTAGGTAACTTTACAAACTGGGCCATTGCTGTGCATTTGTTGAAGAGAGCCAAAACTTCTAACTAAGACGTTAGAAAGGAGATGGAAGCTGTGGGCTTTGGAACAGGAAGAGGGAATGTGTGCACTGAGAAATAAGAGGTGGAAGGGAATGAAAAACCCGAGCACTGGCAATTGGGGGAATAGAAATCAAAGACTCATCACTGGATTCACATTTGAAAACATCAGTTGATATATGAAAATCTTAAGATATTTTGGCCTTTGAGTTTTCTTAGAATAATAAAGCATAAATTATCATAATCACACATGGGTATTTTAATTAACCCCTGAATATATAAATCCAACCAATATTTTTTAGATAAACCATTGTTTTTATTTAAACTAGAGAAATGCAAGTAGGATGATGAGAGGCTAAAATATATAGTCAGTAGGTTATTTTTTTTTAATTTTCCCTATTCATATTGACTGTTCTCTAAGACTAGGAGTGTGAGTTGCATACAAGAGTGTTTTAGTGATTAGAATGACTACCACAGAAACGTGAACCAGACAGGGAAAAATAATTGAGAAGAAAGGAAATAAAAAAGAATCATGGATTGGGAAGTGAGCAAGTTAATGACCAGGTCACAGAAATTATGTCTTAAACATCTCTTGCCATTTTAAAGCAATTTTTGAGTCTTGGCTCTGAGTCTTAACTAGTTGATGTTCACAGTGTGTGTTAGACTAATCAGTGAGATTCAGAGGGCAGAGCCAGCCAGGAAAATGTCATTACAGTCATTGCTCAGGTCCCTGTACTTGGAAGTCGATGTAACAGCTGCTGTGGAGGCTCCTCAGGTTGTCCATTTGCCGAACATGGGGTGTGAGAGCTGGGAGGTGGGGAGGGTGTTTGCTGAGATGAGAATCTGTAGATTTCCCCAAAGAACATGACCCAGAGATAGCCTTCAAGCTGCTGTTACACTTCAGACAATAGGCTCTTCTTTTTCCTCTAGATAAGATGACTCTAATTGCTTTAAAAAGATATAAACCTTAAAGGCTGTTGAAGATCCAAATCTAAAAGAAGTGAGAAGAGGTTAGGGTATGCTGCTCAACCAGGGAGATGCATGGTGGGATCTTAGTGCCAAGGGCATTGGGTCATGCACCTTGTTGACAAAGCCAGTGTGATGAATCCTCAGCCCACTGAAGGAGGGGTTGTATTCATGGAACATCTCATCCATTTCCAGAATCTCTGTTTGATAGCAAATGCACTTAAATATGTTTTTTGTTCTGTTTTGGAGGGTTTTTTCCTAGTGTGGTTTGGGTTCGTTTCACCAACAGAAATGTATTGTCTCACAATTCTCTGAAGGCCACAAGTTCAAGATCTAGATGTCAGAAGGACTGGTTCTGTAAGGAAGGAACTGTTCTGTGCCTCTTCCCTGTTGCTGGTGGATTGCTGGCAATTTTTGATATTCTTAGTTTGTAGACACATCTCTCCACCCTCTGCTTTCATTTTCACGTGACATTCTTCCTGTGTGTTTATAGCCAGGTTTCTTAAGAGTGCAGTTCATATAGGATTAGGAGTTTGTCCCAGCCCAATATGACCTTGTCTTAGCTAATTATATCTTCAATGACTCTTTTCCCAAATAGCATCACATTCTGTGGCACAGAAGATGAGGACTTCAATATATAGATGGTGGGGAAGGGATGTGGAATAACCCATAACAGACACATGGTGATCAAAATATATTTATTAAATAAATGGATGAATGAATGGGCAAAGGCCCAGAAGCAAGAACTTGCATGGTGCCTGTGGAGTTCTGGGTTGCATGGAATCTGTGCATCAAAAAGAGCAAGACAGGGAGTGGTGTGGAGATACCCAGAGTACATGTGATACCTCCTTAGCACACAGAAGGGCTCAATTCACCTTATCTTCAATGGTTTTCATTTTTACTAGTTGTCAGGCTTTAAAATACAGGTACTTTTTAAGAGTCAGATTTCTATCATAATCTATCATGTCTGAATAAACATTTGAACACCACCAAGAGGATATCTCTTGATGTTGAAACCTATCCTCAACCTGCCCCTGACCACTTAGGAAACCATGGTCTCATATAAAAGTCAAAGAGGAAAGAATGGGGCTGGCCTCCTGTGTCAACCTTCCATCACTGTAACAAATACCTGAGAAAATCAACTTATAAGGAGGAAAAATGCATTTTGGCCCATGGTTGATGAGCCCTGTTGTTTCTAATGAGACAGAACATTATTGCAGGGAGTGCATGATGGAGCAAAGCTGTTCCTCTCATGGCAGCCAGCAAGCAAAAAGAGAGGGAAGAGGCCAGGGTCCCAATATCCCCTTCAGGTTTACACTCCCAGGGCCTAACTTCTTCCCATTAAGTCTTTAATTCCTAAGGATTCCACCACCTCCCAATAGTGTCTCTGACTGGTGACCAAGCCTTAGCATTTGGCCTTTGGGGGCATTTAAGATAGTCCATAACACCTCCCATATGTTATCATTCCTGTGATCTATCTACGCATGAGAAATTATTTTTTGTAACAAACAAAACAAAATAAAGAGCCTAATGACCCTAGAACCAGAGGACAGTTTTTAGAATTGCCTTCAAGTTTAGCCAAAAAGCTTCTAATGTTTCTTTTAATTCTTTAAGGATATGTTCACTGACATGCTTATGGAGAAAACATCATGGGCAGGGTTTCTAAAAATGAAAAACCTCTGGGTGACTTTGTCTGGATATTTCTATGTTTATCCCTGCACTGTGAGTCACAATTTAATAATACTAGAGGTTTCATACAAAAGGAAATAATAGCTTGTAGCCATGGTAACATGGTAGGTTTCACCATGTTGTAAGACAGCAATGAAGTTAACCTGTCACTGCTGTAGAGAGGGTGCCATTGTTGACTTTCATGTGTATCTCTAAGTATGTGAAGAATACATTTTTTGCAGTGCTGGAGATTGAACTCAGGGCCTTGCACATGTTAGGCAGGTACTCAACCACTGAGCTACATCCCCAGCCCAAGGATGAATGCATTTCAAGCTCTTGGTTGCCTTAGATTGCATCACTGAATTGTTTGGCTCAGTTTATTAAGGTAAAGGTTACAAATGATAAAATTTACTTTTGTTAAGTGTATAGTTCTATGAATTTTGACAAATGCATATAAGCATGGAGCCACCAGTACCACAATCAATCAATACATTTTGCCATTTTTAGAGTGTTGGATAAGCGAAATCTTATGGTATGCAGCCCTGTGGCTGTTTCCACTTAGCATAATGAACTTGAGAGTCATCTGTGTTGCTTTGGATATAAATTGTTTATTCCTTTTTATGCTGAGTAGTGTTCCATTGTAAGAAATACTGTTCATCAGTTCATGGATATCTGGGTGGTTTTCAGTTTGGGGTAAATATGAATAAATCTGCCATAAATATTTATCTGCAGACTTTTTGTATAGGCCTAATCTTTCATTTCATTTGGGCAAATACCTAGGAGTAGGCTGGTTGAATCACATGGTAAGAGACTGCCATACTGTTTTCCAAAGTCTCCATATATGGTGCCTTGCCACGGGTGTGTGAGAATTCTATTTGTTCTTCGTCCTCACTGGTCAGCACTTGTCAGGGTCGATTTGTTTTATTGTTTTTAGCCACCTTAGTAGGTAGATGTTGATAGATCATGGTTTATCCAAACCTAAATTTAAATACTTCTATTTTCATCCATGAGAAGAGATCAAAATTTCATATTTTAAACATAAAATTGAAAGTCAGATTTTTGTTGGAACCTGTGTCAATCATATTGGCAGGACTGGTCAAGGTTCAGGTAACAGGATGCTGTTAAACTGCTGAGCACGAAAGTGGATGTGGATAATATGATGGCCAGAGGCTCCTGTGACAATGCTTTAAGCTGATACTTTTCAAAAGTATTAGCAAATCTAGTCTGAAAGCCAGATATCTTAGGCCAGTAAACCGCTGGCCTATGTATCTTCCAAACGCTCTTAGTGTGCCATTAGTGAGGCAAGGCTAGTAAGCAAGGGAAGATGGGAAAAAAGCAGGAAAAGGAAGCTTGCTATGATCAACACAATTCTAAACGTTAATTAGCAAGTACTCTTCTCTTTATAATCGATAGGATATATGTATAGTTTCTGGTACTTGTTATAAAATCTCATTAATTCAGACTAATTTTATGGAACATGGAAAAATATGCTATTACTATTTTCCTAAAATTTAAAGTATTTAGTAAGGTAAAACTATCACCAGTTAATTTTCTCAGACATTGGGCAAGGGCAGGCTTTTGGAATACGTATTAAACAGTAAGTAAAAGTGTTTCAGAATTGGAGCATTGGTATGTGTAACCACTTGAACTTAAACAAGTCTTCTGTAGTCTCATTTAAACTGATTACTTAGTAAGTATGTGTCTTTTTTGGCAGTACTGGGATTTGCACTCAGGGCCTCACACTTGCTAGACAGGCAAGCTACCACTCAAGCCATGCCCCTAACCCTTTTTACTTTACTTTTTGAATGGAGGTC